ACCCACTGTGGAACTTATAATTTCCCGGTCGTAGTTTGCGTGTTCGTCGTTTATTATCTCATCATTTTGGGACCACTTTGATGGTTTTGATGTACGTGCCGAGCTTACTCAGATATGCAATTGTTCTGTTACATTCGCATTGTTGCTAGATTTTAACTACTAATAAATATCGATGGTTTGTCGTGTTTTTTTTGCATTGTTTTGGTACAAGCTGTGCGCTACAAACGCTATAGTACGATGTTGGTGCTAAGGCCGATGCCATAGTTTGCGAATCGAGCGATTCGCTAGCGAATCGAACTTTGCGCCAGCGAGTCGAACGATGTACCAGCGAGTCGAACTAGGTACCAGCGACTCAATAGTGGCGGGACCCAACGTTTAAAGGAAGCCGCCACCTTCAAACAGTGTCACGTGACAGTGGACGCTGTTTGAATGAAGTGGAGAGTCTGAGCTTCTTTGAGAGATTACGTGAAGCTGGACCATGCCGAGACGCGAGATACGGTTGAATGACGATCGCAGAAGATCGACCCCGAAAAGACAAGTGAGAGAACGCCACTATTGAGTCGCTGGTACATCGTTCGACTCGCTGGCGCAAAGTTCGATTCGCTGGTGCAACGTTCGGATAAAGCGAATCACTAGCGAACGCTCAGATTAATCTCTTTAAAGGAAGCGATTACGATAGATCTCAAAGGGGTTTAGAGGGGACGTGGGGGTCTCAATAGTACGCCAATGGCGAAAAAAGCAAAGAAATCCGTCAAAAATAAGCAAAATAGTACCCCTTTGATTGCCCTTTCATTTTCGACCATGGATGAGCGACGGTAAAGAACGACGTTGTTCGGACGTGTTAACCCCGATAGCCGCCATCATGCCAACAAGCATAGTGTTTGATTGATAAGGCAATACGTGGGCAAGTTGGAAGATACAGCCGCTAGAAGGGAAATGATCATCCAAAATGAAAAGCCAACAGCAAACAGTCCATCCAGATCATCAACAAAACTAGTGGGCGTTACGTCACTGGGGGCGGAGCGTCACACGGGTCCTGCTCAGCAACCACAGCACCTTTCGCCGTGGGAGGACCACACATCGCTTCCTTGGCAGCCAAGTAATTGCTCCGTGTGGCGCAGGTTCTCCCCCGATGCGAAAATTCCTTATCGTAATCGCTTCCTTTAATAGGCTCTGAACATCATTAGTTTGGGAGGGGGGGGGGGGAAACCACCGGGCGGCGAGCGCGTCTCTGTTCGCACCTTGGCCCCACCCCTCCCCCCCCGCCCCCCCCCCCTGCGTCTAAGGCTCGGCCCGCCGATGGCGCTATTTCGAAACTGCAAGTGGCGACGAAATAAGTAGTAACTGCCCTTCAGACTAAACCTTATCGGAGCAGATGAACAGGGCGCCGCGCCACCGCATGGTCCCCCCCCCCCCCAACTAAGTTAGCACATGATGTTTACCGTCTATTCCGGAAAACGAGAAGAGCGTCGAGGGTAGACCACACCACAAGTAACGACGGTCAAGAAGGAAGTGGCTTCTTCTTTTCCTTTTTCTTGGCCGTTGTAACTTCTGGTGTATGGTCTGCACTCGGAAATCTTCTAGTTTTCCGAAATAGAGAGTAGGCGTACTAGAAGACGATCTAATGAGGAGATCATTGATCCCTTTGGAAATTTCCAACAAGAAAATCGGATTTGTCTTTTCTGAGAAGTAGTCACTTCAGTGAAGGTGATGGAGGTTCTGGAAGACGGAAAGAGAAAACAATGGAAAGTGTTTCCTTACCTTATTTGAGATTTTTGGGAAATCAAGCATTCGACGTTTAACGCACGTCTGTAATGGACTACCATACGAAAGAACAAAGAGCCAATCCCAATGAGAGATTCGTGCCTGAACCCCTTAATACAGCGTGCCGACAGAGACGAGGGGCTGACTTGATCTGCGTTTAAAGGAGCACCTTATTAAAGCGTGGTGTTGGCACACGGAGTCTTTTACACGGGTGTAAAGGCCTCACGACTATGCATCACAGAACTCGCAGTGGAAGGGCCACCTACGTGAATGAATACGTAAACATACTAGCAACTGAACATATCAGAGGAAAAGACAGAAAGTAATGGCCATTTCTCAGAAATCACTTAAGCTAAGATGAAAAGGTAGTAAGCGTCGTGTTCGCTCAGTACCTAACGTTTACTAATGGTAAAACCCTAGATAAAATCCCTGAATCATACCCAAAAAAGACTCCTCGGTCGGTGCTTCTTCTTTTCTTATCTCAATGAATAATGAATAATAATAAACCATAAACCAATTAATCAAAAAAATGTACGGCTCTCTAAAAACCTAGCAACCACTGCGTTCTAAGTGGTTTGGAAATTTCAAGTATGCGCATTTAGGCTACTACCTGTGTAACACAGGACCATGTCATATTTCCTTCATTTATAATTTCTCCTCTCCAACAAAACAAAACGCACAAGCATTTGCACGTAGAACAACAAGTCGATAGTCAAATCCAACAAATGTAACTTATCCAATAAGAAACCTAACCGCACTCGAAACCAGAACAAGCAGGTTACCATTTCAGATGGACCCACGAATATGGTCAATTATCTCATCAAACACTCGGATTTCTTCTGAATAGACAGAATTAGCGGTTCAGAAGGCTTTGCGATCGGTCCTTGACGGTTCCTTTGTCATCTGCTAACGCCTCGGCAAGGAATAATTTCGCTATATTTTCTCCAGTTACCTGAAAATAAACCGAATGAACGTCCGATTTTCTTCCACATTTGCTCAGAATAAGCACCATAACTTTACTATCAGTGCTATATTGATTCCATCAGCGTAGTTTTACAATAATGAAATCAAATATATGAAAAAATTAATGCCCACCTTAACACAGAACTCAGCAAGCGCTTGTGTATCACAGCTACTCAACATCGCATCCAGCATGCCATTTCGTGTTTGCAACTGCGGTTCCTTCATTTTGCGAATGTCATCCATTGACAATGGAGGTTCACCTCTTGCAAGGCGTTGCTCGTTTTCTGCTTGCTGAAAAAAAATTTAGGGTCGAATGTTGGTTATATGTCCGGGAATAGAAATAGCATGAAATAATAGGTCGAGCAGCGGAGAAACGACGCAACCTATACAAATAGTGGGTAGCGTTTTTTTTTTGAGAAAATTTCGCTATTTCCCTCTGAATTCTTCTCGTCTCCAGTTATTCAACTTTCAAGGTGTTATGCAAAAAATCTGGTGAAAATCAAATGTAACTCACCCGCTTCTGAGTTAGGTTGTAGATCATATTATCATGCTTTTGCTTGTCGTTTACGTACTTCCCATATGCCGATATTGACTTGTTGAGCTCATCTATGTTAGCCATCATTGCTCTTACGCTCTTCTCCAACGATCTAAAAAAAGATAAAGCTTTTGGAGAAACTCTTTTGAAATGAGCCACCATATTCGTAGCTGGCTTTTAAAGCGATTGGCCTATCAAATGAAGTGATGAAGCCAGAGTTACGGACTGCTTTGACTTTTTGAATCAATGCGTCCTAGCGCAAATGGGCTAAGCAAGGCACGATGAATTTATGCCCGGCGTGAGACCGACGTCATAGTCGGCGACGGACCAAGCGATGGAGCGATCGCGATCGCTCCATCGCTTGTCCGTCGCTTGCCAATCGCTCTCGGTCGAGCGATTGGCAAGCGATTGCGCAATGTGCACAAGCGACGGGCGATTGGCCCCGCCCCCAGTCAATGCAGTCGGCTGCGGTATCGATCGAGCAGAGCCATTGCCCGTCGCTTGTGCACTTTGCAAGCGATTGCGCAATCGCTTGCCAATCGCTCGACCAAGAGCGATTGGCAAGCGACGGACAAGCGATGGAGCGATCGCGATCGCTCCATCGCTTGTTCCGTCGCCGACTATGACGTCGGTCTAATATGAATTGGGACTAAGCCTTGCAGAGGAGAGAGACCCGCGAGAGAGCGCAGAGGTGGTCTAAAGGGCTGAGTTCAAGTAGTCCGTCGACCGTGAGGCCAGCCGATGTACAAATCAGTGCATCGGATTGCCCCGCATCCCTCCCAGTCAAGTCTAGTACCAGCTGACCGACCGAAGAGGAAAAGTAGTTGTTTGTTTCGCTCGGACGGGTGTTCAAAATGTGATCAGCCGGCAGTGCTGTGGAGCAATGTTGGCGCCACTAAACATCAGGCTCCAAATGCTAAGCATAAACAGCCGAACCATGTCCAATTTTTCTCAAACGAAGGGCCGCAGACTTACACCCAGTTCATTGATTCATTAATTCCTAGCTATTGCATCACAGAAATTGCTACGCAAAAAGTTTGAATGGAATAAGGACTGTCACTCAGAGTGATATTCACAGCGAGGAGTCATAGCTTGGATTTAACATTAAGTATCAGTAGGAAGATTGAGCGGAACGAGTCTCAAGCTTCTAAGGCCGATGTCAGACTTCGCGAATCGCGCGATTCGCTAGCGTCACGTCGCGGCCAGTGAATCACTCAATTGACTGGTACCGCAACGCGACCGCGGACGCTAGCGAATCGCTAGTAGCGAATCGCGCGATTTGCGCAAAGTCTGACATCGGCTCATCTTGAAACTGAGCATTTTCGTTACTAGCACCAATAAAGTATTTCTGTTAGCATGCCACAATCCCACCCGCAAACGTGACGCACCTAGCTTCTTACTATGGAGAAAGAGTGGAGGTGCACTTATAGAACGCATTTGTGGTTGGAGCACGAATAACTCAAGCTCTATGCTCTTCGTCTGTTCATTTAACAAGTAAGCTCTAGAAAAAACAGGAAAAAAATTGCTGTGGCCTACCTCCGAGATCCCAGTTCGAGATGTGTTGAAAACCTATCAGCAATTCTAGTCGGAGCTAACGACAACTCAGCCATCATAACATTGACAAGATGACTGCTCTTTATAACTATCGGTAATTCTTCGAACATTGTCTGATAGGTGAGGTTAGCTGCCTTCACTCTGAAACCAAAAGTATCACTAAAATGTGAAAATACAAGATCAAAAAGAAAACACCGAAAACAAAAAGAGTATCCAACAAAAGTAAAACAACAAATACAAGTCAACTCAAAAAAACTTCGAACGGAAAGCACTAAGTTCAAGTATAAGCCTTATTGAACAGTGAAACATAAAAACATACGCGTCCGGTGACCAGTCGTTTTTGGCACAAAGTTCAAGAGCAGGAACAGACAAACGGTAAGCACGCAAACAAAGCTGTCCCTGCCGCGTTTTTACAGGATCTGAAAAATCTCTGATAAACACACGACATGAATTCTGTGGAAAGGAACTAACAGCACTCTTATCATTCCTATTTTCTTACTCTTCAGCCTTATTTTCAGATTTGCGGCATCAAAACAAACAATAAGAAGGATGAAAATAAAAGCAAAGATAGCAAAAGCTAAGAAGTACGGCTATTACACACCGACATTCTTTTGATCGCCGTTGGTATGTAAGAACACCAGTAATTGACCAAAATATTACCGTAAATGATAACTACGCCATCGGGTCCATTGCTCTGATAGTCGAACATCGAATCCACAAGATCCTGAGAGAAACATGCGCCGAATGGATGCGCTTGATAGAATCCTACCAATTCGTAGTCAATATTCATATTTCTAGAAAAAATATATGTTCTATAGCAATTCAAAGAAAGCAGCGTGACATGACACGTACCTGAATTTCCTCAACATGTCCAACATTTCTTGCTGTTTAAGTTCCTCGTACATCTGATTAGCCTGAATAAAACCGTCACTGAGGGAAATAACACTGCACCAAAACAGTATGTAATTGGAAAAAGGATACTGAACCTGAGCTGCGTTTTCATCGCTGTTCTAAAACAGGCCTGGCAGCACGAGCGGTAGGAAGCATGTTTGAGTGGATCTCTAGGCGCACTGTCATCTTGTTTCTCACAGATACTGAAGCCCTTGTCAAAACCTTGGGCAAGCTGGTCACACAGCGGTACCTGAATTCGTGAACGTGGGTATACCATTCGCAGCCAATATATTAGGCTAAATCTAAGACAATAAAAAATCCCAACCTCACTCATTCCAGCATAAAGCTCGCTATCCACGTGTTTGACGATTTTCATAATAACAAGTGAGTCCATCTGTATGTATGACACATTTGGAGGCGTTATCGTAGTTATGGTCGCCGCCATGGTGGACCTGAAAGTAAGTCACTTCGTGCGCCATAAAAGCCAACCATACGGACGCGATTACAATCCGAATAGAAGAGGCTTAATTACGAAAGAGGTGTCCTTACAACAACTCCAACGAAAATGACACGTGGTTGAGTTGTATCGGCAAGTGGTTTGACTAAGGCTGCGACATTTTACATTGTAGACTGGCCTAACGTTCTACATTATCGTTGTCTTGGGACGAAATGTGACTCAACGGTTGGATTTACTATCTAGCCCACCAACTATCAGGCGCTTTATCTTCTTTATTGTCATCTTGAAAACGACGGGGTCTATCCCAGTTAGGGAGTTGGCACCCATGATGCAGTTTTTCCAGAAAGCTAAGGCAACTCCGAGCTAGGGGGAGTGTAGCCAGCCTGCGAGGGGTGGGGGGTGAGGGCAGCCACATGCGTGAAAAAGCTGGCAAAGTTCGAGCATACTAGTTTGCGGCATCACAGATTGCCACCCCCCCCCCCTAGGCCGATGTCAGACTTTGCGAATCGCGCGATTCGCTAGCGTCCGCGGTCGCGTTGCGGTACCAGCCAATTGAGTGATTCACTGGCCGCGACGCGACCGCAGACGCTAGCGAATCGCGCGATTCGCAAAGTCTGACATCGGCCTAACTGGGCGAATAGATCCGACGACGGTACTGAACTTAAGACCAGTCTAACAGATCCTCTACCTAGCTCAAACAGCACATACCATTAAAACCTACAAAACCAGACCATGCAAGTTTACACACAAAGATGAGGTTGGAGAATAATTGATTGAAAATCACGGGTGCTCATCCGGCAAGGGCGGGCGATTGCGTGTGCACGTCTGTCTAATGCCAATTTTGGCTCAAGGAGTCCTTTAAAGTTACGAGCTGCTATCAGCTTTTTTCCTATGTTATTTCTTCAGGTGTTTTGTGTAATGTATGTATTCTTGTACTAGATGACATTAACGTCTACGAGAAGTGAAATTCACCTAGTTAGCAGGTCAGGACTAAGCCCAGGAGGGGGGAGGAAGTCCCCCGGGGAAAGCCAAGATTGCTCACGGATCCGGGGACTCCTTCCCTTCTAGGGCTTAGTCCTGAACGTCTACAATAAAATAATGTGCTTTCCATGGTTTTTGAAATCGTCTTAGATCGCTAGCCCCGCTTACTGGATTGAGATTCCGAAAAACACGGCGACTGTTTTCATCCAGCCAGAGCAGATGTACCTGGCAAAGCTCAAGTCTAAGAGAGGACATGTACATCGTTACAGCCAATAAATTACGCAAGTAGAAAAGGATCCTCTGATACACCATAAAAAGTTTAGCTGGAGAACCGAAAACTATAAAGGTAGATGACGAAATATGAGTGGGTATATGGGGATTTACAGAACGCCGCTGCAACCGGTAACCCGTTAATATCTGTGTCATCAATGCTAAACTGGCGCATTTTCTGTAATGTTGGACCCTTGCCAATCTTGACGTGTACTTGAAGAGCCGGTACTACTGAAGAGCTGAATATTCCCTGGATGTTCACGGTCCATTAATCTTGCGGGCACCATTGGTCTGAGGCTATTCGACCTTTTATCTCCATTTGTTGTTGATTAAGTGAGCTAGTTTTGCTTGTAATTGAATAAACTGACGCTTTTTGGAGTCACCCTTAACCCAATTTCCGCAGGGAAGGAAACTTCAATATAGTTGTATGGTGTTGTAGAGGACCTCGCGGTTTTCAAAAAATGGCTTCTCACCTGCTTAATGCATTCCAACAACTTAGCTGGTTATATATAAGGGGAACATATGGGTGCAAATAGTATTATTATTAGCTATTACTTCTAGCTTATCACATTTCTGCAATATGCAACTTTCACAACAGTACTTTCATGACCTTTTACTATACGGGTTCGTATTTGGCGAATCAGCAGCCTAATCCAGACGTCGCATTGATGCTGCGTATGGAGAACGTAAGGTATCCGAATGCGCTGCACAAGGTTGGTCTGAACGCTTCCGCGAGGGAGACTCGCTCTTGAAAGTTCCACTCATCGGGACGTCGAACTCGAAGTCGACAATGATCGTTTGCGCAAGCTGGTGGAGGCAGACCCATGGCAAACTACGCGTGAAGTAGCACAAGTCTTAGGTGTTCCCTTTAGCGCCAATCTCCGGCCACCTGCATCATTGGGAAAGGTGCACAAGTTTTCTTCCAGAAAGTGAATTAGGCTGGTACCAGAGTCCGTGACCCGTCGCGCGACGGATCACAGAAATCACAAGTGCCCCTCAACATCATATCAACACCACGAGGTACTTTCCAATCCGCCGCCATTTCTGTTTGGTAGTGATGATTGAATGACGACTGTTCATGATTCTACTTGTTTCATATTCAGTGTTTCAAATGTTCAAATGGGGCACTTGCGATTTTGCGATTCGCGCGAATCGCGCGACGGATCGCGGACTCTGACACCATCCTAAAACGGTAGTGCCAAAAACCGCGAGAACTTCCTCTACAACCTACATAAAGGCGGAAATGATTCAAGACCGCCCTAGGAAGGCATGATTTTAATTGTATGTAAAAAGAAATGTTTTGAAAATGAAGGATGCTCTTTTCGCTGTGTCTGGTCGAGTGGTTCGATAACTTCGTATAGTGTATGACGTGAGGAAGTATGACTTAAAGGACGAATTCACGATGAAAAAGCAACCCATTTCAAATTAACCTAGGGATGGTGAGTGGTACACGAAAGAAGGAAGAACCATGAGAAACGGCCCAGAACCCGAGCATTGATGCGACTCTCATCGCTGTGCCCTCTTCAACACTACGCTCTCTCAGCTATCTAATCACTCGCCACGTATTGAACTACGGCGAGTGATCAGATGATCGGTGGGCGGAGATCGCCGGACCCGCCAGCTTTGAGGCATGATAGGTCGCCGAGGTCAAATTTTTCCATGCGAATTGCGCGTCAGTTCGCACCCTCAGGAGGTCCGTGGGTCCCTCAACTAGGTCAGTTTCCCTTTCTTCGACCTTCATTCTAATCGTGAATTCCTCCTTTAACATCGGCACGTGTATTTTCTCATTTTTACTCATGCTTTCCAAAAACGGGGTGGACCCTTTGTCGTTGGCTGTTGCTGTAGTAATAGTTTCAATTCTTATCGCCAGAGATTTTAGTTCTCCATATTCACTCTGTTACTACCTGTCCAATTACGCACTGTCATTACTCCCTACAGGGAGTTACAGTCGCAAAGCTTTGATTGCTTCTTTTTCGATCCATCTACAACTTTTCAGATTCAAATGAGGTGGTTAACCGCGTTAGTGGCAGCGTACTATGTCACGTTTGGATTTGCGTACGATGATGAATTCGTTACATGTGGATCCGTATTGAAGCTTTCTAACGTGAATGAGGGTTCTCGACTGCATTCTCATGATGTTAAATACGGGAGTGGCAGTGGCCAACAGTCGGTCACTGCTGTCACGGCTTCTGATGACGTGAATTCGCATTGGCAAATTTATCCGTGTGAGTTTAATTCTTTAGTTTTTCGACAGAAATCTGTGAATGAGAAATAGGTAACACTTCGAGCTGGCTGATCTCTGTCCACTGAGCTAATGAGTTGGAGCACACAAACTGTCATACACTGTTGCTTTGAATTGTTTTCTTTAGACATTTATTAATTTGATTACTTACATAAATACTCTCAGGAATAACTAATTATTATCAAATTCAGCACTCAAAGAGAAGTGCCATCGAGGAGATCCAATCAAATGCGGCGACAAGATTCGCCTTAAACATCTCACCTCCGGATGCTTTTTACACACCCATCATTTCCAAGCGCCTCTATCTAAGCATTATCAGGTACTGCTTTGTAGCCAGAATTGCTTCTTCCACAAATCAGGCTCAGTTTCAAAGACGAAAGAAAAACAGCCTTGTGAACTCGGGTGCTCTTCGCAAGTTCAGAGTCTAAGGCATTCGTTTTTTATTTCTCCGTATTTTCATTTAATTTTACTGTTTTGGTAATTTATAAGATGGTTTCAATTGTATGTTGAACAAAATAAGTTATACGAGAGCAGGGTTGTGGACAAAACTTCCGTCTAAAGCGGGACACGAACCCGTACCTCTTCCTTACCGGCAAGAGCGTTACAAGTTCCCGCTACCAGGGCACCACTTCATTCTAACGCTGGTGTCAGAGTCCGCGA